TATTCCAAAATTGATTTTTTTTTTTAATTAAATTTAATTTAAAAATTTTTTATTTTGGAAATTACTTATATAAAAAAAAATTTTAAATTATAAACAAAACTAACAAAAAAAAAAAATTAAAAAAAAAACATCTACAAAAAAATCAAAAAATATACGAGACCCTTTGGCAGATAATGGTATGCTTTTTTGAAAAGCTAGTTTTTAAAAATAGTTCAGTACCTTGATCTAGCTTGATCGAACCTTTTAAAATCGGTATCTAATTTGTTTAATATTTTATACTAACATACTAAAAAAATAACCTATATTTTAATAATATTGCTATTATATTAAAATAAAGTGAAATTTTTACGGTTTTAAAGTATTTTTAAAATCAGTTCATTTACTAAGAAAGTTCATTTAAAAGATTTAATTTATAATTCATGTTTTTGAGTTAAAAAATATTTTAATATTTTTAAAAAATTGTCTGTACAAAATGATATATCTACCTATTGGATAACATTATCCAATTTTAACAAATGTGTGAATATTGATAAAATATAAATTTATTGATGAGAATACTAAAAAAGTTTAAATCCATATTTTAATCATATGGACTAATAATAATTAAATAATTTAGAAATTATTGGGGAAAAGAAGACAAATAAATTACCCATACGTAGGAGAAATTTTACGAGATGCGATGAGCTCACATCCAGTATTAAAAAAAGTTGATGTGATCAGCCTACAATCGACCGCAATGAGTATATTGTATAGGTGAAAGTGTTACAGAATATTATAAAAGTACCTGTTAAATACTTCTTTACAATTTTTTTTTAAAGCGTTAATAAGCTTTAAGTTAACATATCTAAAAAAATGTAAATTTGGCTCTTAGTAGAGTTTTGCTTTGTGCCATCCGAATTCTCTGAAATGCTCGGTAGTTAGTTTCTGTAATAATCAGAACTCAAATATTTAAAAAAATTGCTTCAATTAGTTCCATAAATATGATAAAATGTAAGCTTCGGTCCCTAGTTCGCTTTCTTGCAAAAAATTTATATGTTCATTGTTTTGACACCCCAACGCCCGATCACAAAAGTTGATCAATTCGTGACATAGCCAAAAGAAAATTATATATAAAATTTCATGAAAATCGGTTCAGCCGAACTCAAGATACGCGCGTGCACACAAAGACAGACAGACCAACAAGTTGCTAAAAAAAGTTTATTTAGACTCCCCTACCACGGAGAAGTGCGTTCCCACCGAAAACTCGTTTTAAAATTGTAGGTTTTAGCATTACTTTTTTTAAAATTATAAAAATATTTTGAGGTTCCATTATCTGCTTATAGTAAACTCCAAAAAAATTAACTTATATGAAATGAATATAATAATATTATAATTGCAAAAAAAAAAAAATAAAATAAGAAATTTAAATATAAAACAATAAAGTACGTAACATAAGGATGACATTTCACAAGTATAAAGAATAAATTAACCGTAAAAATAAAATAAATCAAGAAAAAAAAACATTTTTGTGTGACATTTTTCTTTGTAGTTGTAACATATAAATTAATATTAAAAAGAAATATATATATATATATGTATATATTATATATCTTAAGAGTTGATATGAAATTGAATAGTACAATAGTAAAATGTTGTTGAAAGTATGAATAAATTTGTTAACTTGTACAAAATTAAAAAAAAGGAACAAAAAATTTTGTAATATTTAAAAATTTTTTAAAAAAGAAGGAAATCACAAAGAGTTACACGACAATTAGATGTTTAAAAATAAAAAAAAAATAATATTATTTTAAAAATTTTTTGTTTTTCTTCGTATTTAATATTTTATATTTTATTTTTTAATATATTTATTATTTATAATGGTAATATAAAAAGAAAACCACAAGTATATATAAATTTTAATTTTTTCACTGTTATTATTTATATATATTTACTGTTATTTTTAATTGATATAAAGAAGAAGTATGAGAAATTAAAATATTACAAAAATAGTTTATATAGAAAGAGAGAGAAAGATACAAAGAAAAAACATATAAAATAATGTTATAATTATGTAATGTAAAAAATGTCAAACAATATGTGAAAGAAGAGAAAAATTAAAAATAAATAACGAAAACAAAGTAATAATCATGTTAAATAATATATTGTTATATAAATAGTAGAATAAATTTAAAAAAAAAAATAAAAATTTTTAATAAATTCCGAGTTGTTTATACGAATTTAAATTTGGATTTAATTAATTTTTACATTTTATAATTTAAAAAAAAAATTTAAATTATGCAAAAAATGACAAAACTAAAGTAATCAAAAAAAAATAATAGTGAAATACAAAAAAAATTGTAAATAAATTAAAAAAATAAACAAAAACAAATATACACGTATATATGTAAAAAAAATTATTATGATTTTACACACAGAAAACTTCCTTCAACGTTATCATAATCGAATAGTGTGATCAAAAAATTTTAAGTGATCTAGTCGCATAATATTTTATTGTAATTATTATTAAAAGAAAAGTATAATCATTATTACGATACGAGTATTATATTATCAAATTTAACTACATAATAAATTTTAAAATTTCAACTGATTATTAGTATTTTTACTTTAAAAATGTTTTACAAAATAATTTTTATTTTTCTTTATACATAAAATAAATTAATTATAAGTGTTTTTCAACTTTCATTTGAATGAGGAAACTTAAACTGAAAAACGTATCACTATTTGGTGATATTTTTGTCTTAAGTATTTTTAAAAAAATTTATTAAAATCGGATTGTTTTTTGTTAATAACAATAAGTGCTATATGCAATTATTTTAGTTTTGCAACTGTTTGATTGCTCTATTTTCTGATTCTATAGATTTATATACAAGCGCGCACACATACAACTGTACGATTGAATAAAAGCAATCAAAGAGTTTGTAGTTTTTTACAAACTGATTGCAAGTTTTAGCTAGTGCAATCGAGTTGAATTGGCGTAACGTTTTTACGAACAAGCAGTAATTGCAAAACTAAAAATTACATATCTGCCTGGGCTATAATAATATCTAACTTTTTACGATATCTTTTATATCACTATATCTTTCAATGATTCGTGTTTCAGATTAAACCCCAATTTCTGTTATAATTATTATAAAGGCAGCCATTAATTAAATTTTATATGAATAAGACTCCGAACTTATATGAGTATACAATTTTTTAACGTTTCTCCACCTTAGATATGTATAATAGAACACATTTATTCGAAAATATTCAAATTAATTTCAACTTTCGATAGGTTTGCAAGTTAGAGCTATATTACTTTATTAAGTCGTATTTTGGCATAATGTTCATTCATGTTTAAGAGGTGCTAAACTACCTGTCAAATGAAATTATAACAAACATAACAAAAGCGTTGCATAAAATTTAGAAAAATATGGCTAAAATTTTTATTTTTAACGTGATGAAGCATTTTGAACAAATGTTTTTATTGAAAATGAAATAATATAATAATATTTAAAATAAAATTCGATTATAAGGGAATAATTTAGGATAATAAGGGAATGAACAGAAAAATTCCAATTTGATCGCAAAAATATAATATTTTATCATCATGATTTAAACATACATATATATATACGTTTAATCTTAATTGATATAAATGAAATTTAAATATTAAAATCGGGCATATTTAAAAATTGGTTTGTGATCCAAACTTTTGTTTTATTTGTATAATTTCTATTAAGTTGACCACAAAGACTTTTTCTTTCTACTTTTTTTAAAGTCAATTTTTTACGACATTAATTATTTACAAATTACTCAAAATGAAACACGTTCATCATTTTATCCTTAAATTACTTATTGTTACCCTTTTTCATTATAAACACCTCATTTGATTTAGTTAATCACCTACACAAATACAAAACATTTATAAATTTTTTCTCATTAAGATTTTTGTCATTAAGATATACAACTTGCAATTGGTACTATATCGAAACAGACATTTTTAAAGAAATATTGTGGAAAAAACTAGGCATGCCATCTTAATAGCTGTTAATTGGTGCAAAATTTTTGTGTCTATAAAAATGTTATTATAACATTATTATTAAACTGTTAAACACAATAATTTTATGATTGGCAAAACGGGGGAAAAAACAGCAAAAATCATTTATGAATATGAACGGCAATTTTTTGAGTGTGCTATTTAAAATCAATTGAAATGTTAAAAAACACTATTCTATGATTCAAGTATAAAAATGTTAAGAAAAAGAAACAATAACAAAAGTTAATATGATTTTAAATTTAACATTAAAACAAAGTTAAAACGATACAAAAAAAAACATTGAAAAAACGACTGAACGATTATGATAAGCAATTAAATGAAGACTGTGAAAATTTTATTAATGAATAAACATTTAAATTTATATTTTATTTTTGAAATTGTATAAGTTTATTAAACTGTATTTTAAATTTATTTAATTATAGTAATATTATATTTATTTTATATTAGAAACAAATCAAGATTAATATTGAAATTTATTGATTCTTCAATTCAAATGTACAAAATAATTGTAAAATTTCAATATTAAAACTTGACTGCTTCTAAAGTGATGTAGTTTTAAAATCATTTTTGTTAAATTAACAGCGAAAAATTTAAATTAACAGAGAGAAATAAATTAGTTTTAACCTGAATATTATTTTAAATTTTTATGAATCAATTTGGAAAAAAAAAATTATTTTCCTCCTATTTTAAAATTTTATCTCTGCTTTCAAAGTCCCTTAATTTCTTTTCCGTTTAAATAATCTTTTAATTATTTTTAAAGAAATTTTTCATTTTTCTTTTTTTTTATTTCAAAATAATATATTTTCTTTTTTCAAAAGAATTTAATATTTAGCTTTATCCTGATTTCTTCTTTAAATCTTTTATTTTGCTTTTTTCTTTTTCATATTATTAAATTTTTTAGATCTTAAAACGACACGTCACGACACGTAATAGGGCATAATAATGTGCTGATGATACATACATAACATACCCCTGACGGGAGGAGCCCCGTCGACTTGTAGCCTCAAATTAGAGGCTCTCCTTGAAAAACGAATTGTGTGCCAATTGTTGTCATTTAATACAGTTTGACCAGCTAGTAAATTCTGTAAATGCATCAAATAATTGTTATACCATTTTATTTATCGTAAGAAAAATTATATTATTTATGTTTATAGCAAATATAATATGTACATGTATTATGAAACAAAAAGTGTAATAAATAACTATAATAATATAGCTAATAATTAATTACCTTTTCACGATCTGCTAATCTTACACTAGCCCTTATTCGACCAGCTACTAAACCGATTTCTAAACGATCTGGAGAATTTGATTCGGCACTAGTTATCAAAAGTAAACCAGCTGGCCGGGCTGTTTTAAATCGTAATACTAGCTCTTCTGTTTGCGTTTTTGATCCTTGCCCATTACCTAACCATATTGTCATATGTTGTGATCCATTAAATGCTAATGTAGCAGATTCGCGTCCGCACGTTGGTCCTGTATATAATGTTGCTGAACAATCGCATATGGCGCGATTCCATCCTTCAGTACAAATTCCACCGTTCATACATGGGCTTTGATTTGCATTACATAAGTTTGATTGAACATGACAAGAAGGTTTTACAGCAGCTGCAATTTCGTACGTAAGGAAATTTTTTTTTTTTTTTTAAAAAGTAAGTTATTGTTTACTTATTTAGCTTTTCATAAAAAATTACCAGAATCCTGCGCTCTTGCATACGCAGCAATATCAACAGCTTTATTACTTAGTTGTAAGTCTCTTAAACAACCAACAAAACCTTGACGTAATGTTGCTGTCCAAATAGCTGACGGCCAATTAATATTTGAATATGAAGCTCCAGTACCCCCAACATACATTTGACCATCTAATTCAAGCATTGTTGCATCACCTGGTGTACGAAATTCATTCCATACACCATCAACACTTACTTTACCATCACGCCCACTTCGTCGCAAATTTAAATCATGCCAATCACCATCATCTACACGACGTCTCGAGGCGCGTACTTTAACAGCACCGGAACCCAAATCCAAATGTATATAAATATGGCCGTTTAATAATTCAACAGCAAATAAAACAGGCTATATAGATATAAAAATTTTAAAAATTAAAAACATTTCTGTGATTTGAATTATTAAGTGATATTTCGAAAACGAAATATTGCAATAGATAGTTAAACATTTTCTGTTTTAAAGTTGTTTCTTTCGAAAGGGAAAAGAGATTCGGATTTGCAATATCTAGACTATTTTATTAAAAATTATTTAAAATTTTCGGACTTAAAATAAAAAAGCACAAGCATTTTTTGTCTTATGTATATATATTTTGGCAGCATACTTAGAAATAAGTCAAAATTTTGTCATTATTGTGTTGACGTAAGGTTGGTTTAAACTTTACATACCGAATGCGATTATATTGCAATAGAATTTTGTCGAAGAGGATGAAGAGAAACTAATATTGCCTTTCTCTTTCTCTCTCAAACATCGGGAAGTGTAAATCGAAATTACGAATTATTGTGTTTCAAAAGAAAATGCTCAATTCAAATGATACTCACTTAAAAAATTATAATCTTATTTTTGGAATGACAACCAATAAATCGTGTAAGGTGCTTACAAGATAATGTGATTTTAATAAGTATATGAAAATTATTTATAAATGCACAAAATATAATTCCCATTAGATAATAAACTTATAATATATTTATTAGACTAGAATAATATGAACCTTGTAAAAATACAATATACTTGAACACGAAAGTAAATACTACAGGGAATAGTCTTAACTTTGTAATTTAGTCCGAAACAAATACAAATAATAAATTATTAATGAAATATTTATAATTTCTTTATTTTGTGCTATAGGGCCTTAATATAATTAAAATCAAATCGAATAAAAATGAAATTTAATAAATCATTATCTGGATAATAAAATATATACATATGTATGTATGTTCATAAATGTAAGTGTTATATTTTCTATATGGATTAATACATTGTAATTACATAATCAATACAATGTAATTTATATTGAAATATCATAACTATGCATAAAATTATACATTTATTACTTACATTTTTAGCTCGTGGTGGTCGTGAACCAGTTGTCAACAATATTAAACCATTTGGTTCTTTAGTTCGGAATTTAAATGCTACTGAACTTTGTTTTCCTGTTTCCCATGGCGGAAGAACCTTTAAAAATAAAAATTAAAGAATAATTAGTATTTTATATTTAAATGTTTTAATTCTTAACTTAATTTCTTTAAATATTTCTAAAACATTTTAGCTTTCATTTTGATGTTGTATAGATTACTAGATGGTAATTTTCTCTACAATTCATGACACTGATGGAAATTTTTTAAAAACTTCTTGTTATTATTGAATTTAAAAAATTAAAATTTATGTTTTTTATTTACTTCACAAAAAAATGTTATAGAAACTAATAATTTGTATAACAGAAATAAATGTTAATTTTTTGTATAATTTGCGATCTAATGAATTCGAGCATTCATATAGATGAAATTTCTTTTAATCCAACTTTTGTTTTATTTTTTCTAAATGAATTATCTATACATTAAGTAAGTATATAATTAAAAGAAAATTCTTTCTGTCATACCTTTAATTTACTGTCTTTTGTACACAATTTTATGTTACCTTTCAATGAAAATCTCTATAAATAATTTGGAAACTAAATCAATTTATTTTTTTTTTTTTAATATTTTTAGTATTTCTTAGTTAACATAGAATTTTATTAACAATTTTTATAATTATTATCGTTGAATGTATTGTATTAAAATAAAATTATTTAAGAATAAATTAAACTTTTGAAAGAAAACATGGAACTAACTTTCGTAGTATAACTCAAGTGACAGTAGGTTAATTTGTATTTAGATGTACATACAATTAAAATTACGTTAATATTAGTTTTTTTATTTAATATTAGTTATACGTTAATATTAGTTAGTTTTTTTTTGTTAATATTAAAACAACAATTTTTGAAATATTTTGTACCATATAGAACATGATTTCTTTTCATTAGTAATCAATACTATTTTACTGGCCATACTCAAAAAATTGTACAGGGAGAACCCTCAAAGATTAATTTTCATAGAATGCTTAAATATCTCATATCTACTGAATCAATTAAACTCTCATGATCAACTAAAAGTCAATTAGCAGTTTGTTTTCGAAGTTAACCTTCTATGTTTCTGTTTAAAATTATTCCCGATATATGAAGCTAAAATATATATATTGTATTAGTACATTGCTTCACAATATTATTAAAGTATCCAAATTTTGCACTTTACAACAAATCATTACGTTTATGCAAAAATAAATACTTTTCCGAATTATTTTGTCATACATAGAAGTATAGAACGTAGTTCTTTACGTAGTATATTAAGTATAGTTTATATTACTATATTGGTACACTCATTACTTTGCTTATGTAATTAAATTTTTAAAAAGCATTACATTTTCTAAAAAGTATAACATTCCAAAACAATCTCATTCTTTTTTGCGAGTCCACATAACAATTATTATTGTTACAATATTTTTTTATTATCCATCAAACTTATCAAAATTTTTTCTATGAAATTTGTGTATAAGAAGATTTTCTTTGTTTTAATGTTTGATTATCATTATTACTATTTTCAATATGAAGGATTTCTTTTCAAATTTTTATAAATCCTTGGAATCAAAATGAATCATAAAAAGTATTATTTATTGTAGGTACTATCATTAATTTCAGTGGATTTGTTGAATGTGGGGTTATTTTTTTTTGTTCTTTATTATTGTTATTTGGGGAATTCAGATAATTCGATAGATTTCTATGGAAAAAATCTCTTCTATATAGAGAAAATAATATATTAAAATACTCTTTTAATATATTTTTTTTATAATAATAACGATTTCAAGGAATTTTTGTTTTTGATTTTATTATTCTTTATGCTCTTGTTGCCATTTTTATTTTGCTAATGTATTGTATATTTTATATTGTCATTCTAAAATTTTAATGATAAAACAATTTATGGTCATACCACAACATTCAAAGTTTTGGAGCAAACTCTAACAAGTTTATTTCCACACTCAATTTGTAATATTTTTGAAATTCTTTTACTATAACTTTTATTCATTACACATTTTTTTTATTAATTTTTAGCCGTAAGATATCGAATAAATTGCTTTTGTGTGATAATAAAGAACTTTGGAAAAACAATTACAAAAAACTTTTAAAAAACTGGTTAAAAAACCAAAATTACGTGTAATTATTTGAGGAGTAAATGACCGAATGTATAAAACATTTTCCAAATGATATTTTATGAATCCCTACAAATCTATTCTATTTGATTTACACGAGTACATAATTTTCTAAATTTATTCTGAATTTCCAGAAAATTGCAAAGTTATTCAAGGAATGTAATCTGATCGTGAGCAGCATGATGTAAAATAACTCTTTAATTATGAAAGCTATAAATAAATACGAAATGCAAAATTTTGTTCAACTTTAATCGTTTACCTATTGCATAAAATAGTATATGGGCTATTGTAAACGTACAATTAATAATTTTTGTTGACTTAAAAGTAAAAATAAATTGATATTTATTGAAAAAAGATTACTTTCTACTATTTGTTTAATATTAAAATAAATATTAATAAATAAAATTTAATAAGTATTTTTGAATTTGTAAAATGATTCTATTCACAGAACTGTTTTAAATATCGATTTCATCTTTTAATTTTCATTCAAATTATTTTTTTATACAACCACCTGTTTTATAATATGACATTATAATTATTTTTATATTAAATCACATTGTCCAATTATATTTGTAAATTTACATTACTACCGTAAATAACATTTACGATATTAAATAAAATTATATGAAATTTTTATTTTCTTGTGTGAGTGGAAATTATTCATAATATAATATATTCATTTTCATATTCGATGCATTTTCAATTAAACGCAAGTAATTAAAATTATAGTATTTTTAAGAATTTTTTTTAAAATTAAATTTCAACAGCATCGAAATTATCTATTCGAGTTTCCAGTACCTATTTAAACCTTAAAATACTAAATATACGTTATAATGCAAAATGTGAGTAATTACTTATTAAAGGTCGGTTATAAATCAGGCTTTAATTAGTAGAAATTAAAAGACTTTTATATAACCTGAATTTTAAATCAAATGCATAAAAATCAGGTATTTTTCAGGTAAAAATTCTTCAGTATTATTGTGTTTTAAATATGAAGGAAAACGTAAAAACAAATTGGAAATTTTTATGAACAAATTTATTAAAGTTTTTAAATGCCGAAGTTAAAAACGTGGAAAATTTTTAAAAGCTTCACTTCGAGTGCAATTTTCAAATTCAAAACATATTTTTTGCAGCTCACTTATTTTGCAAAAAAATTTTTGGAAAACAAAACGAAATTTATAAAATTTTATATTAAAAATCAAAGAAAATTCACACAGTGTTGCTAGAACATTTAAAAAATATTTTTCATTTTTGCCAAGTTGATTCTGTCAGGAAAATTAAAATTTTATTTTTAATTCCAATTTTGCCTTTTTTATTATTATTTTTTTTTAATTTCTAATTGAAACTGATCCGATTTAATATTTAAAGGCATATCAAAATAAAATTCATAATTTTTAATTAAACAATACGAAAATTTTCGCTTACATTATAACATTGCGTTAATATTATATACGTTTGACCTAATTTTTAATTTTTATTGAAATAATTAGCAATTAACAATATATTATAAGCATACTCGCGTTATGATTTATTTAATAAAATTATATTAATATACGCATATGCACGCCATTTAACTGTCTTATACCTATTATTTTTTATACACATTTTATAAAAATATCCTTGCTTTCAATTTTTTGTTTAATAAACCGAAAAATTAACAAAATTATAATTTTATAATTATTAATTTTGCACTATTTTCATGTTTTTGTTTTTTTTGTGTATATACTCTTTAATATACAAATATACAAATATTGTTTTTAAAAATAACAATACAAAAGCGTTAAACTTACCAAATGGGAATCTCTTGTTGTAAATGTTACTGGATCCTGTGGATCACCACTCGGGCATTGATATTCAATACGTCCAGCTATTTGTATTAACTTTGAACCACTTCGTGCGAGGTCAATCAGATTTAAACGCAATGTATCTGCAGAGAATTCAACCTAGAAAAATAGAACACAATATAAACTTAATTTTAAAGAATGAAAAACAAAAGGAGAACCATAAAAGAAAATATAAAATTTGTTTTAAAAGTTCCATTAAATTTTTCCTGTATAAGGAAAACTGAAGAAAATAAAGCAATAAACAAAAAAGAAAAGAAAACAACTTGAAAACTATATTAAAACTGTATTGTACGTATATGTGTGTGTGAAAAATAATTTCAAAGCAAATAAAGTAGGAAAAACAAACAAATGAAGCTACAGAGGATTCGTTTCTGCATTTATTTGTGATGCTTATTTTGGGATTTATATAACGTTTTAACAACAGACAATGTTATGTAGTATACAATGCATACCACATAAATATTATAACGACATAACAAAGACAAAAGACAAAAAAGTTGCAATGCCAGAGAATAAAAATACGAAGTGTAAAATAATAAAGTCAAATGGGATAAATTAAAACCTTGAATCGTTCAATAATTTAAAAGAGTTTCGTAGATTGAATATGTTTTTCTTTTCTAGTAAATTAAACGTTCATGTACATAGGTTATATATACACAAAAACTTACATATAACTGGTGTTGAAATAATTGAAATATCAGTAGCCGTGCTACTATCAATGAATACTAATGAATATGTTGCGTGATTGATATTTTGTTAAAAACCAGTACATAAACAGAACGTTCAAAAAAGTTGATTGATTTAAAAATTTGTTTGTGTATTGCCTAATTTGTTTTTTCAAAAAACTTTTTTCAAACAAAAACCCCAATATCAAAAAAATCTTTAAAACGTATCGTGTATTTTAAATTTTTAAATTTTTCAAAACCATGGAAGTACTAAAATTTCAAATAGATCTGTAAAAATTTTATATTCGTAATTTTCGTTTGATTTATATGTATGTATGTATATGCATTATGAAGAAAAAAAATAATATCTGGATAAGAAAGAAATGCCTATTAGAAGAATTACTTTCCTGATCTTTTGAATTTTCTAACAATTATGCCCTTTATCAAAGAATTTCTTTCTAATTTAGTAGATTTTAGCCACATATTTTTGTAGAACTGGAACTCTGAAGAGATGAAAAATTTTTATTAATGGAAAAAAAATCTCAAGCTCTTGGAATTTCTTTGATTAATGATCAACTGAGAAATCATAATCTTCATAATAATTCTTTATAATTCAACAATGAAAATTTTTTAATTTTAGTTTTGAAAATTTAAAAGAATTCTTCATGAAAAGCGTTTTACAATTTAAGAATCATTAAAGCCTTTTGAAAATAGTTAGATGATTATGTCATCAAATTCACATATTTATAAAATTTAAATAGTTTAGACATCCACATTTAGAATATTTTAAAATTACAGATTATAAAATTATTACAGATTTGTTAGTATAAGAAGGAATATTATTTTCAAAAATTCTTATTCATTTTTATAAGGCAAGAACTTCCCCCCTCCCACATGTACATATCCAACATAGATTTAACCACTTGAAAATATTACAATATTATGTATGTATAATTATGTATATATAGTTGAAAAAAATATAGCAATTACTTTTCTTTGAATATTTACCCCAGAAAAACACATTCATTATGTTAAAGTAAATATTGTTAACATATTAATATGTAATTGTGCACATTTATATACATATTTTTACTATTACTCTAAATAACTAACATATACATATATATACATAATATTATATTATTCACTATACTCGTACTTTCTAAATTCTTAAAAAGAATTTACAAAATTCGCAAAGTTTTTTTAATATTCTCTGCTAATATTTTAAGAAAAAGCAACTTAAACTTCACTTATTAGGAATAACACAAGTATTTTATAATATATAATAGATACGCAAAAGGATATTTAAGGAATCTTAACAATTGTCATTAACAAATTCATATTTCATTCAATTTTGAGTAATAATTCATACATGTTAATAGGTATTCATATATGTGGGTGTATACTATATTTATAAATTTATTGTATGTATATATATGTATGGATGTATTTTTAAATAAAGCTCCATGCTTATTCGGATCATTAAACTACAACAAAAAGGGGAGAAAAAATAATAATAATTTAATGAAAAAGTAAAAAAGTAATTGGAAAAGAAAAAAAAACAAAAAAAGAAGCGATGTGAAAACTTTACCGAAAAACTGAATTGTTACAAATGAGAAAAGTTTTTCTTTTTAAAAGAAAATTAAGTTGAGAATAAAAATAAAAACATAAAAACAAAAACCTAAAATAACTTAAATGAATCCTTCTTGTATTTTTGTTTGTTTGCCTAAATATTTTCTCCCTTTATAAATTTTCCTGATTTTTATATTGAGTACGACTGTAACCAGTGTAATAGTTGAATATTTTTAAATGTTTATAATTCAGTGGCTTCAAGCACAAACGACTTAAGTCTGTTTTAGTGATTTCGAGATAAATGCATTTTAAACTTTAAATTAAATTTTGAAAAAAGTTATGAAGTTTTTTGAACCAATTTTTTTTTTGATTGAAAGATAATTAAAAAAGGAAGCGATTAACTCATAATCTGAAGTAAAACAACTAATAGTATTCTCTTAATTATGAAAAAAGAGAGATAGGCGGTTATACAAAATTTATAAAAAGTACTTTGCAAAGCATAACTCGACTTAGGCGATTTGTGAAAAATTACTTTTGCATTTTCGTCAAACTTAAGTCGACTTAAGCTGTTGTTGCAAAACTGAAAATATGGTTTTAGGTGACTTAAGTTATATTGAAAAGGGAAGAAATATGTGTATTATTTCTAAAATATTTGATTTATCACTTTTTTTTCAAATCATTGTCATAAAAAACATAAATTGAGGTAAAAAATTAATAAACTTTAAGTAAAAATTATTTCTAAAAGTTTAAAAATAATTTTTTCATTAAATTTAAGAAAGGTGGCAGTATCTTTTATTCTCTCTCGGATTCTCCAACTAAATATGGATGAGTATCTGCTAAATATCCAGTCTTAATCGTTTTGTAAAATTTGTAAACCAACAGATTAAAAAATTGCATCAAGTACTCTAAGTTTTTCTTTTTTGGTACTAATTTTCTCTTCTTCTTCAATTTGGAGCATGTCTTGAAAATCTAACTAGTTAACACCTCGTCTTAAAATATAAAAAATCTTTGTATAAACTGTTCTTGTAAAATATTTTTGGAAGTCAATTTTTTGAAATCTGTGGTGCGACTCTTTCCACTTAAGAGAATTTCAAAAAGTAATTCAATTACAAAAAGGCTTCATTGTGCAACGGATCTGACAAAGTTGTTACATTATTGTAAAAATGAGCACATAAAGTAATCTCTAAAATGAGTTTATGGGTTTGGTGTTTGTTACTTTATTTATATGCTATAGTCCATATGACTTTCTTACTTGTTCATAATGATACTAAATCCGAATTAATTAAAATTTTTAAATTAAAAACAAAATGAAATCGAGTGTGAGTCATTACAACTACTGTAATGAAAAGTCAAATTTGATACTGAACTCGAACTCGTATAGAAAATAATAATTCGATACTTGTCAAAATTAAATCTTGGAGACGTATTATTAATTACGTATAGAAAATGGTTTGTTCGTCAGTTTTTCTCCAAGTTCTGCCGTAAAAAGTATATAGATCTCCGTAAAAAGTTGTGGCAAAGCAAATTGGTTCAGAATTTGCTCTCCTTTCATAGAGTATATAAGTATTTGATTATCAAATAAACAAAAAATATTGTAAGTTTGCACGACATTTTTATTTTAGCTGTCAGCATTTACTTTTCAATTAAGACTCCATACAAATTGACCACGAGTCAGTTTCCAGCGTTCATGTACTTGAGTGCATTGAGGAAGCCCGGTCGCGAAAGATTAAGCGAATTTTTCTAACCTTTCGGCAAATTGTAAAAGGATTTTTCTTAAAAGAATAAAAGTAGAAAGCCTTTCATATTTTTTTATCTCTACAGATATGTTCACATGCCCAATAGGACTCGAAAACTTGCTTTTGAATGTTGTCAATTTTAAAATCAGGATCATTAATACAGTCACCACGATCAAAGTCAATTGCGGTTTTCAAAACTGTATTAACTTCGGTTTTCAAAGTAAGATCTGTTGATACTTGTTTATTTACTATAGAACCAGTTTCGCTAATTTCTATGCTTAAAAACACTTTGAATCCGTTATGTTAATTTCAAATATATTGCAATACATCTAACATCCACCACAATCATTTCAGCTCGCCTAGCAAGTTCCAAAATTTTTAACGTACATTGATTAAGCGTGGATAAAGTTTATATTGGATAATTTTTATATTATTTAACAATTTCCAACATAAGCACATTTAAAAACAATAATAAATAACTGTCTTTGTAAAAAATACTTCCTTCGAAATAACAAAAATATCATAAATATTTGAAAATCGAAGAAATTTGAACTCACGGAAATGAGTAATAAAAAGTATAACAAAATATTGTTATTCCCAGATGTACCAGTTTTATTTATTGAAAAAAAACCCTTGCAAATTATAATAATTTGAATTTCCTAACAAAATGTGTTTTACTAGTGTATAATAAAAGTGTTGCTTTGTAATACAATAATTAGAATAAAACCTCTTGTCAAACACAAAAATTTGTTCTTCCTAATAACATTTGTTTTACAAGGGCATAATAAAACAACACTTTGTTTAATAATACAATTAGACCACAAAGGCAAAACAATCTACCATCAGGTAGCTAGCCACGTGTCATTTTAACATGGGAACTCGGTCAATTGAAAAAAACATTTGTCGCAGGTAAATCACGAAATGACCTACAAGATTATTTGTTAAATAAAAAAATTCAAATCTTAAACATGGGATATTTGGGTAATTAGAGCATTAATAATGCAGGTAACTTGTGCAGATGTTTTATATTTTGGGTTAAAAAATACAACTATCTTACTTGTCGCTGAATGTAAGATTTAATTTTAACTATAGTGAACAAGTTTTAAACCATGGACATAAAGTACTTACACTATATATCACATAAAATAATATGTTAAGCGTTATAAAATATTTTTTATTATAAAAAACTAAAAAATATTCTATACTGATCATGTATTATTTCGAACACTAAACGCTTAACTTCGATGTATTGTTCTTATTTGCACGCGTTATAAAAACCTAACTCGAAATAAGAAGCCTTTTGGAATATAATTGCATTTGCAATAATCGCCTAACTCGAGATGAGTTTAAAAAACCACCAATTATTATTTTACACAAATCGCTTATGTCGAGTTAGTATTTAAAAAAATTCAAAATTAATTTTGCAACAAAAGCCTAACTCGAGATAAGCGGTTGTAAAAATTCATACAAATAAAAAAAAATGTCACTAATTTTGATTTGCAACAACAGCATATCTCGAAATAAGTGGTTTGTCAAAAACATAAAAAAGATGTTTTCTGATCTTAACTCGATTTAGGCGATTAGTGCAAGTGCACATTGTTGCCATTTCGAGTTAGGTCATGTGTGAATTCGACAATAACTCCGGCTACAACAGTCGTAGAACCACCAAATTTTGTGAGCATATGAAACTCAAAACGGAGAATTCGCTGGTAAACATATCTCATTTTTGTCTTAACTCGAGTTAGGCGGTTTGTGTTTGAGGCCACTGAATTATATAAACATAATATTAAACAAATTAGGATTGCCATCATTATATTTTTTTATGATTTGCTTTGGGCATACATACTTTTTTCAAGTCTACTTCATTTAAATAATATCAACTTTTTGTTTAAGGCCAAATGAACACAATTTTCAATTTTCTGCATCATAAATTTTGCCATATTTAACAACTATTTAAAATATTATAAAGGACTATCCATGAACCTTGTCGCAAACTATAGAATAATTTTACAAACGAATATGATTTTCATGAATGCATACTTTTATTTGTCGTCCTGACATTGAATTCAAAAAATTCAGTTTCAAGTTTACAATCTGAAAAATGTACTACAAAAAAAAATTATAACAGTAAATTGGTTCAAGTTTTAAAATTAAAAAATTTAAGTTTAAAACAAAATCAATTCGATTTTGTATTAATAGAAAAAATAAATGGAGAAGTTCAAATTTAAGTAAATTTTTTTAAAGGGGTTGGCAGCAGTGAATCGTTGACACATGTGAGGTTTTTATTTAGCAAACATCAAATAAAATTCCATTATTTCTTGTTTCCTTTGGTATTTATTTTTAAACGGTATTTTTACTATTTACTTTTATACATAATACATAATATACCTTTGTACATAATATTGGTATGTGTATGTTTTATGTTGTGTTTATTATATGAAAAAACAATTATGTATCAACATTTATATTTATTTTCACTATAAAGTAAACATTTTTTTTATAAAAGCACATATTCAGGGGTATGCTTAAGCCGCGGGTCAATTTGACTCATCCGATTTGATTCTTTTGTTTGTAATAAAACCAGATTGACTGCAAACGGGTTAATCTGTTTTTAAGCCTTACAGAATTTAAAAATGTTTTTTTCTGTTTTTGATAAATTTTTGGCAAAAATATTCAATAGAGCTGTAATGGCTTAAAGAATTATTCTATATTTTCAAATATGCTTAGCTTACTCATTTTGTCACTCTATTTTAAAATAATTTCGTTTGCGTCTTTTAAAAATGTTCTTAAAAACTGAAAATTCAGATATTTCAATCGCAATTTAGTCGAAATGACGTTACTGCAAGTAGACCACTAACGTGCTGAACGCCTCAATTGTGAATTGAAAAAGCAAATCATCACAACTTGCTAGCTTTTATTTTTTAAAAACTGGACGTAAGTAACAAAGTGTTAATTGCATACATTATTTCCAGAGTTCCAATTGTATGAAATTCACAATGTATGTGTATCTAACAAAAAATGTTAAATTAAACAATAATTTAAAATTAAAACTAAGAAACAGAGTTCTACATTTTGAAATTTTTAACTAATTTTTAAAAAAAAAGACGTATACTTATTTTTATTCATATTACTCTTGTTTAAATCTTTTTTAAAAAAAAATTGCGACGTCATAATTCATTTTTGTGGGCACACCCCTGCATATTATAGCATATATATAGTACTACATATATATTATACTTACTTTTCTTAAACAACCAACAAAATTGTTATGAACACGTGCACCCAGTAAAGCTCTTGGATTAACAGCACCACCAACATAAACTCGTGATGATGATAACATTGTAAATTTTCCAGCAATATGTGAATGATCTGTATAAACATCATCTACAACAGTTACCAACTGTAAAATTAAGAAAATAAAAAATAAACAAGAATTTTTGGCATAAAGAAAAAGTTACAAAAAATTTAAATATACTATAAAAAGTTAAAAATTTTATTTAAAATTTCATGTACATATTTTTAAATTGGAATGAACTAACGACAAAACATGTAAAACAAATAAATAAGAATAAAAACAATAAAAAAACACAAAGAGCACCTATACACAAAGTAAGTACAAATGGTACAAATTAGAAGCAAATTGTTACAAACTTTTTGTTACAATTAGAATCAGAAACAATAGAGAAAATATCACCACTAGCAGTTTTATCCTTTATATATTTGTCAAGACTTCTGTAAGGATTATTCTAATGAAATTTATTCCTTTTTTTTTATTTTTTAAAATTATACCATTTTATACCCTCAAGACTTAATTCTCATTGACTCGTATATCTAAAATAATGCTTGTTTTTTCTCTTTTTCTTCTTATTTTTGTAATTTTTTTTTTTGTATAGAAAGTATATGAAAACGTAAAACGCTTAGAGTATCACCTATTCTAGAATTGTTTTACAAGTGATGAATGATGAAAATCTTTTTTATTTTTCTTTATTAACTTAATAAACAGGTCATGAACTTAAAAAAAAAAGTTCTTACAGAAATTTCATATACTGTAATATATTGGAAGATAGAAAAACAAAATAACAAAAGAGAAAAGGATCTGGGAAAATTTAAAGAAAAATATGAGTTTCTAATTTCTTAAGATAACACTATAAAGTCAGTTATTTCTTATTCTAACTTCTCTCTTTTACTTAATATTTTCGCTCGTAATTGGGGCTATTTTCTTATTTATATTTTCTTATTGTCCTTATTTGTCTTCTTCAAGAAAATTCAATAAAGAAATTTTTTTCAATATTATTGAATAAAAAGTTTTCACAATTTAAAAATTAAAAGTTTTGTACTTTTTAATATTGGTTTTTGCAATAATTTAAACTTTTATTTAAAATCTATATTGTAAGTGCTTTTTTCAAGAAATAATTGTCTTACAAAATTATTTTAGTATTAGAAAATTATTGAAATTTAAATTTATCTTTATATTGAAAAATCAAATTTTATGAAATATTAATTCATAATTTTTGAACAAGAAAATCTCAATATTTTGTGTAGAACGTTTTAAAAGTTGGTTTTTTGTGATAAGATTTTTCAAACATAGACATTTAACTTTTAATTTCTTACAATATGAAGTATACGCAAAATGAAGAAATCAAAAGTGTCTAAGCTTAATATTATATTAATAGACTGTAAAAGTAGAGGCCTCTCGACTTATAGGGGAGAGGGTTAAGGCAAAAAGACTGACGAGAACAAGACCTCTTGAATTAGACTAAAGTGTTGTAATAGACTTTCTTCACGGAATCTAGACACAAAAACACGATAGAGCGAAACTAATGTTAAGTCAGTTTAACTAGTTTTAGGAGTTTATGACCATCCAGATGCCCTTTAGGTTGGGTTAAAGTCCTCCGCTATTGATAGGTTTAATGACGGGTTGGGTCCGTCTATCTTTGTCTTTCGATAATTTTTAATACCTATATTAAAAAAATTAAATTGATAGGTATCAGTAAAACGTATGAACAGGGGTGATGTCTTCTTAAGTTATTTCGGTACATTTAGTCAACCTAATTTCGCAGTGTTTATGCGGAGATTCTGAGGGTAGATAAAACTTGAACACTGACCCAAAAATAATTGAAATTTAACGCTTTCAAAAAGCGCTAAATTCAGCTTCCTTGCAAAAGCAATTACCGATACCGGTTTCAAATTATTGAGTATATCCGTGAAGGTTTCAAGTAGCTGTAATATTTCAGTTTATGATTAGGTTGAATTACCTTAAAAAAGGAATTGTTTAACGAAGATTTTTTAGAAATTTAAAATTATATCAAAAAGTTTAACGAAAACCACTTAACCGACTAACAAAATAATCAATTAGTATAATGTATTTTTAATACCAAACACCTGCCATTTTATTTTTTCTACCCGTAAAGCTTCTGATTCATTTTCAGAAAAATATCTTTTGAAATAAAAAATAAAATTTAAAAAAAAAATTAAAAACGACTTTTAGAACCTTAAGCACCTTCCGAAAAATGACAAAATTTTATATTCAAAAAAAAAAAAAAAAGTTTTTGAAGAAGTTTTTAATATTGTTAGTGCTTTATTTTGTTTTCTGTCTATTTATATAGTATAATATAACTTGTGTATGTGTGTATTTTACTAACATTTTGTGTTTACATCTTGTTCTATGTATACCTACATAGTATTCGAACAAATACTTCAATCAAAAAGTGTTAAATAGATCGCTAGTATAAGTTAGCTATGTAACATAAATCAGGAAGAATGAGAATGGATTCATACATACATATACATATGTACATGCATAACAAATATATACAAATTTTGTATGTATTGCAGTCCTAAAGGGATTAATTTATCTTATTTTCACAATAATTTGAGTATCCTTGTAATATTGCATATATACTGTAATACCATGCTATATACACAATTAAGTGTATATATGTGTGTGCATACGTAATGAATAACATAATATTATGAAAGTTTTGAAAGAATTTCGTTTGTAATATCCATTATCAAGCGAGTTGAATCAATCATACATCAATACGTATGAATGTTCTGCTTTGCTTGCATGTATTTCACAGGGAAAGGGTCTTCTAAAATCTCGCCTTTTTAGTAAATTTTTATGTATATACAGATATTCATTAAGGCTTGCTAACAATCAAATAAATGAAATCTGATAGCCGGACTCGGTATCTCAATTTTTTTTAATCATACTTTAAGATATTAAATCACATTTTTTTAAAATAATAAAAAAAGTAGAAATTTCAACTTGTTAAGAATTATTTTGTGTTTTTTGGAAAGAACTGTTGTACTAAATGCGAAAAAGTTCTAAAGTATTCAAATATTTTTACATAAATTTCGTTTATTTTTCTAAGAAAATCTTTAGTTGAAAATTAACAGATTAATGTAAATGTTTTAAAAATTAAATTAACAAAATTAGTTTTTGAATAATTACATTCAAAATGTAACCTTATTGTTGGTAAGAATGAAAATTTTTTTCTATGTTTTTCTATTTTTAGTTTTTTATTAAAACATTACAGGGTATTGATGGCATGTCAGGCTGAAAACAATATTTTTAAAAATTCAAGAAACTTTTGTTTTTTGCCTCCTGTTCAATTTTTCTTTTCTTTTTTTTTTAAATTTGGATCAGTGATTGTAGAAAATTTATGCAAATATATTAAATTTTTGAAAAGTTTGTAATTTGAACCATTTTTGGAAAATTTATGTATTATCTACATAAAGCTATGCTGGAATTCTGTATAGGTAGTTTAAAAACTTTAATTTTATTATAATGAGAAATTTGAATTGGAAATGGTTTAATTTTTTTTTTGTCTTTTGTTGGAATATGTTATTGAAAATGTCTATCTAGACTCATACATATATAATATATTTAAAAAGAGTTAATATGGTAGACTTGAAATTCCCCGAAATTATTCAGTAGTTTTCACTTTAAAGAAATATAGTTAATGGAAAGAAATAGTAAGAAAGAAATTTAAATGCGAATTACAGATTACAATATAAGCTGTTATGGTTAAATTGTACTATTCCATGTAAATTGGGCTTCCGAAAGGGGATGCATCGGAACCTAATAGTTATGCTCTTTGAATTCATTTGCTTCAAACTAAAACACTGTAATTAACGAAAAGAAGTTTTCGGGAAATTAAGGAAAATATAAAAACTTTGAACAACTTTTTAATATTTGCGATTTTCTTATTTTGTAAGAATATTAGCAATAGTCACTTTCAATACTAATAAATTATGCATTAAATTCATTAACATTAAATAAAGTTTTCCAAAATTTTCATATTTTTTTGCTGCGAAAGATGCTCCATCTTCCTTAACTGTTTTTTTTTTTCTAAAAGGATACGGTAATTTTGGCTAACTGCATTGTTGTTCACAATTTAGAATTTTATATGTACATGAATGATATAAATTGAATTTTTTAATATTACACTTACCCGACAAAAGCTGGTGATTGATGATATCTAAATAATGTTGTTGGATTTTAGTTGACAATTGTTGTTGTATAATAGTTTGTTATTATAATTTTTATTTTATTCCATTAAAGTTTGACAGGATGCAAAAATAAAGTTTAATATAAAGAAAACAAAAAAAATTTTAGAAAAGAAAATTTAATTTTTTTTTAAATTATTGCCTTATTTTAGATAAGGGCGAAGAAAAAATTTTATTTTTATGTAAATTCAAAAAAAAAACAAAATGAAAATAATATCTAAAAAGCTTTTAAAAAAAGTAGGTATTTTTGTATTTTACATTAACTGGTATAGTAAAAATTTCTTTTATTAAAAGTAATAAGGTATTTTTTATATACTAACTTCCTGTATTCGCCGATGTACTGTAACTTTGTGCCATTGATGATCATCAAAGCGTACTTTTGATGGTTTTATATGCATTTCCTGTTTACCATTCGCTAAACCCATTGTGAGTGATACACCACCATCACGAAGAGCTAAATTGAGGTAGTCTGATCCATGACCTTTAATAAATATAAAAAATTTAAGAATTGCAATTTTATGATACAGTAAAGGATTTTTATTTTTCTTTTTCATTTTTGTATGAAAATGTACTTTATATTTTGGCTTTTAAAAAAAAAATTATTCTAATGCACAAAAAAAATTTGAAAATTTTAAAATTTGAATTTCATGTACAAATTCTAAATAAAACGAGAAAAGAGTTGACCTTGTCAACTCTTTGATACCTGTACGAATTTGTTATCCTATGTGCAAATAAAGATGCCATAACCGACTACGGGACAGACTATGACTTTAAGTTGCCGTATTACCATATTAATTTATGCAAAATTTCAGTACTGTGTGTGCCAAACTACTATTTACGTTGTATGGCAGCTACCAGAAAGAGCTAAGAAATTTTAACAAATTTTATCAAACACATTGGCCCTACTAATATATTCGTTTGTGTGAAATTTCAATACCATAACTTTTATAGTTTATGAGATATAGCCAAATAACTTTTGAAGTTGTATGGCAGGTACCAGAAGGAGCCGAGCAATTTCAACAACTTTTACGACACACATTGGCCCTACTAATATATTCGTTTGTGTGAAATTTCAATACCATAACTTTTATAGTTTCTGAAATATAGTCAAATAACTTTTGAAGTACCCGAACCGGTACCCCGATCATGTCCAATTTAAATAGGGTTCTGGCACTTAGTACAATAAATCATTTGTGAAAATTTGGTGAACTTAGCTCAATTAGTTCTTGAGTTATCGTTGGGACGCACGGACGGACGCACGACAGACGGACGGACGGACAGACAAAGCTAAATCAACTCAGAATTTGACGCTGATCAAAAACATACATTTGAGTCTATATCTAAGACCGTTATTTCTTAGCGTTACAAACGGTAAGGCAAATTTAGTATAATCTTCGAACATACGTTCGTACGGGTATAACAAGTTAAGATATCGTATTATGCAAACAGTTTTAAGGTGTTTGATTACCTCAGCACCGAATAAAAGATAAGGATATATGTATACATATTTCCATTTATTATAACAGATTCAAACAATTCTGTCTTTGCATTCGCTATATTTTTAATGAATTCACACTTCTTGAGACATTTGTTGCATCACAGTTTTCATTTCATCAAATTATTTTGAATTGAGAAGATTTGTTGTAAAAGTGTGTCCATCTCATACTGCTTAATTTTTCAGAAAAGTAAGTTTTTAAATCAAATAAAGCGAGATATTAACACTTAAAATTTCTTATACGATCGTAATTAATTGCTTTAAACATAATAAACATAAAAACTTGAAAAATTCATGGAAAAAGTAGTACATGTAACAGTTATTGATTTGAAGAAGGTAGATGAATTACGTTTTATACGAAAATAGGTGAATTTTGTATCAACCTGTTCAGCTAGTGGTGTATCTTTTTTTTCTAGATTTGCATTTCTTTTGGCGATATTGCAGTAATTTGTTTGTGAACACTGTTAATAAGTCATAAGAATCTGCCATGGTGAAATAAAGTTACTGAGATAAAACAACATATTTTAAGGAGCCGATACTCATAATTTTAGAGCAAGTTGGGCTTCCATATCTTCAGTTCTGTCCTTCAGTTTCTGTCCTATCACTTAAGTAGCAAATTGAATTTAACGTCTTGCTATAATTTATAATAAAATTCTTATACTTTTAAAGTATTTTGAACATAACATATTCATATTAGATTTACAAGTTACTGAAGAACTGAAAATTAAATTTTAAATAAAAATCATATAAAAATCAAACAGTAATTAAATTAACATTTACACAAAAATATCAGTATTTTAATTGTTATTGTCTGGATATATAAAAATTGGTCTGGATATATAAAAATGTGTAGGGTATTTTAAGGTTATATTTTATTCCAAAATTTAAAATAAAAGAATTTCATTTTCGAATTCAAGCAATTATTATTTTAGCATTAATTTTAATAAATTTATTGAATTATTAAATTCCATTGCATTATATACCTACATATTATGTACATGGTATACAATATGAATGTATGTATTTGGTTAAATCTAATATTTATCAATTAACAAAGCTTTTGAAATTAAAATGAAAAAAAAATCTATAATCTTTTCACAAAGGAAAATATTAAAGCCTAGTATGTATTAAAGCACATTTTAATATTAATATTTTGATATTTGTACAAAAAATTATATGGTTGTATATTATATATATATTTATATTTAGGTATGTATACTTAATATTCAAATATCCTATATATTTGCACAATGTTATGTACACCATCATTAAAATAATATTTAGGTTATAACCTGTTTATTGTTTTTTTGTTTTTCTTTTGCTACTCAATTCTTTAGAGGATTGATAAAGAAAATTTATTTATATCGAAAATGCATTATATATTAATATGCATAACTATAAATGTCATATTGTTATAAAATCGTTATATTGCTTTATTCTAGGACAATATTTTATTTTACAATCTTTTATAAATTATATTTTTTTTTAATAATTACTCCTTTTCCAAAAATTTAAAGAAATTTACGGACTACTTTGGATTTGATTTTGTTGACAATGACTTTAACAACTATTCAAACATAGAGTTTAATAGAGTTACCACAAAGTTACATTGATTTCTGCAACAAGTTGCAAAGAAAACATTTAAAAAATTCTGATTGACTTGTCAAAAATTTATCTTTATACTTTTGATTGATGTCAATTCTTTGAAAATTTTGGGAGTACGGTTTTTCAAAGATAATATTTTATCTTAAACTTTCAATAAATTAAAACTCTAGGCGAACTTCTTGAAAGTGCAATTCTGTTTAACAAATAGTGTTTATGTATGTACAAAAATTGAACATATTTTCAAAATTAAATTTTGATTTGCACTTTATTATTATAATTATACGTAAGTACTAAAGAATAATTATTGAAAAATTTAAAGCAAATTATTCTTGAACAATTCTTGTTAGCAAACGATCTTATTCCAATAATCTGAGTTTGTGTCGCTATTCTGCAGATGTCATCAATAAATGAATCAGTTAAATGCATCTAACCAGACGAAATTTACAAAATAATGTCAATCTTATAAGTGTGAATATTATTTTACAATTATTTAAAGAAAAAGGAAACTATTCTATTATTTTATAAACATTTGCTCTGAACGAAGCAAATGACAAAGTTTTTGAACATAAAAATGGTAGTAAAAGACAACACTCTATATAATCGAAATGTGAGGTAATATCGAAAACGTTACAATAATTTTTTAAGAAATATCAACTCTAAGATTTATGAATTATTTTACATTCAGATAATTACATGTTATTTATAAAAACTATTATGGAATAAAATTAATAGTTTTCATTTTATTTTGTAATTATATTGATTTGAATATTCGTATTATGTTTGACGTTTATGTATATAATATGCTAGACCTTTTATACATAATAAATTTTGTATTCATAAATTGAATTTGATTCTGTTTTAAAGCATAAATTATATTAGAGTGAAAAAGCTGTAAGGAAATTAAAATATCATTATAATAATTATCATTTCTTTAGGTAATATTTTATATACATATGTATATCAATGTTATATCAATATTTTCAGTATTAATCTTATTGAATATTGACATAATAAAATTGATATTACAAAGCTTGCACTTTAAGTATAAATTATAATATAAAGTTAAAAATAACTTTCAATAGTGCATAATGCTTGGGAATTATATAAGAAAATTTGTCATAAATTCATAACATTTTTATATTTTAATATATTTAGGAAATATTATGTGGTTTTCATAATACGCATATATATTATAGTTTGTATATAGTGCATATATTGTGAACGTTAACGATTGCAGTATCCCACATTTGAATGATTTCATATAAGTATATAAATTATTTTCCATTCAAGTATATAATTTAAAATTCCGTATATTACATTGAATAAAATCCTTTAAAATTAATATTTATTCAGTTGGTTTTTTTGATGATCACTATGCTCATTGCTCTATATAAAAATAATCCCTTTGGAATTTTTACAACTCTATATAATATCAATATCGAAATGATTGTATTTCAATGTTGAAAAATTGGAAAAAATAAAGAGATTTCTATCAAAAATTTTAAGGCTAATATTATTCAGCTATTCAGTTTAAATTCACATTATACACACTTATTGAAATTTCTCAGAAGTTCAAGTTCATGTTATATAGAATATTTTGTTAAAAATGAAAAATAATTACAATTTAAAACTATAGGTAACTATATAAAAGAAAATTAATGTTGCAAATTACAAATTATCTTTATTTAATGTAAATTTATAAGGAAAATCGATTTTGTTTCTAGTTTTTCATTTATACATGACTAGTATGCTCTACTTTCTATATAATTTATAAATATTGTTAAGTATGTGGTATATAATAGTATATTGCTATACATAATACAAACAAATAATATGCTGTATAAAAATTATAAGTATTCTTTTGAATGTCATGATTTTTACAAAATCAAAAGCAATATACTGGAAATAACAGCATATGCCGTATAACTTGACCTTACCTTAAAATAGGATATTGTCACAAATAATTAGAAATATATTTTTTTTTCTGTATTTTGCTCAATTTGGCCAGTTTAATTTATTCAAATTGTTTATTTTGTTATTGTACAAAAATTTCTAAACGTTGACCTTGTGGTCAGTTAAAAACAAACAAATTAAGGTAATGGGGTAAAAATAAAAAAAAACAAAAACAACAATAAGTAAATTAGTAAGAGCAAAAAAATAAAATATAAATATGCCTGTCTGTATTAGTATAAGCATTACAAATGCATATACCCATGGAATACCCACTACACATTTAAAAAATAATATTAAATTTCATGTTATTGTAAAATTATTTTTCGAGATAAGATTTCAATGTTCAAATACTAATTATAATAATAACTAATTATTTCATTGACTTAGATTCTTATTGCTAAATTATATAATCCTAAAAGTATGTAAAT